TCCTCGCTGACACTGAACCCAGCGCGGCGCCGCTGCCGCCAAGGAGGCGGAGGGAGGCCGCGGTGGTGACACAGAAGCGCGCGGGCCAGCGCCAGGGGACGCCGCCGCCGCCCACGGCCGCCCCCTCACCCAGGCAGGGTGGGAGCACGCGGGTTGCTCTGCCCACCCCCGTTCTGCGGGAACCCCCCGCAACCCCGTTTTCAGGGAGCGTGGACTCTGTCCTGGTGCCAGCCCAGCAAACCCACTTTCCTTAAACGTGCCCGTGCGGGCACAGCTAGAGAAATGATCGGTGCTGGGGGTGGAAGGGTGTCAGACCCAGGGGGTGGCAGTCCCGAAATCAGGGATTCTTCTCTGGCCCTAAGATAGACAAGCTGTGTGACCTGGGACAACTTACTTCCCCTCTCTGAGCCATTTCCTCCTCCTAAGGGCAGGGAGGTGACCTGAAGTTCAACTCTGCATTCTAAGATGCTGCCCTCCCCCTACGGTAGCCCCACACGATGGAAGTATTGTGGGATTCATTGAGATAAATACTGTTCACACATACCTGGCTCTATGGTACTTTGACTGAGTACAATTCTCACACAGCCCTATGAGGTCACTCCCAGGATTGTCCCCACTTAGCAGATGAGAAAGCAGAGGCTCAGAGGCAGTGACTCACCCTGGTCACCACCCTAGTGGTTGGCGGTGCTTATCCAAAGAGCCTGGTTTGGAGTTTCTCAGTCCTCCTCCCCAGGCCTGCCTGGCAAAGCCCAAGACTCTCACGGAGTCTTTTTTCCAATTTTAAGGCCTTTTATTTCTTCGCCTTCATCCCCAGTGGAAGGAGCTGGTCTAGCTCAAATCAGAAGTCCCAGCCTGCGGGGCATGCTCATCAGGGCCACAGCCCTCCTCCCATCCTGTCCCCACATCCTTACAAGGGGGCAGGTGTCCATCGGCTATACTCCCTACAGGAGCAGAAATCAAGCTTCTCCAACCAAGTTTCTTTGACCAAACTCCATCCACTGGGGCTACCCACCAGTATTAATTATCAAGTGTTAATTAACTCCCCAATATTAATTACCAAGTCCAATGATCAAGTACTAATATTAGCTATTTACATGCATGATGTCCTTCCACCCTTAAAACAACCCCATAACCCCCATTTTAGGAAAGCGAACATCTGAGGTCATTTCAAAGTGGTTGTTGTTCATGGGATGGCCTGCTGAGAGGTAGACTGTGAGCTCCTTGGAACTGGCTGAATTTCTCACCATATGTATGTTTTGCCTATTTAAACGAAAAAGTAACAATTATAAGACCTATCCCCCACCTTGAGCAGTCATTGAGTGGGTGTCCTTGAACAAGGGCTTTGCCACACACAAAACAGAGGTGGAGTTAAATGAACTGTCCACGTGGAAGAATTATTATCACGTTTTTAGTCAGAAATGCCTCAGGTCCTTGATGGCAGGAACCATATCAGACTCATCTGTGTAAGTGCAGCAAATGGCAAAAGGCCTGAAATGTATTATTCTAATCAGCTTTGTGACATCGGACTAATAAATCGTTCCCCCTTTTGGAACTGGGCATCCCCATTTGTTGAACTAGTCAGGGGACCTCTAGTGGCCCTCATGGGTCAAATCAGGTCCTAGAGCCTGACCCGAGTGGCTCGGTTGGTTGAGAGTTGTCCTGTGTATTGAAAAGCAGAGGCTGGCGGCGCCCCCGCCCTGCTCCCCCTCCCCAGCACCCTTGGGTTGCTGGCTAGATTCTTAGTGTGAGCAGCCAATCAATGATTCTCTCTCATCATTGATATTCCTATCTCCCTCCCTCTCCCTTCCTCTCTGAAATCAATAAATATATAAAAAAAAAAAAAAAAAAAAAAAAAAAGAAAAGCAGAAGGTGTACCAAAAGGTTGCCAGTTTGATTCCTGGTCAGACACGTGCCTGGGTATCAGGTTCAATCCCCAATCAGGGCAGGTACGAAAGGCAACAGATCAATGTTTCTCTCTCTCTCTCTCCCCTTCCTCTTTCTAAAATCAATAAAAAACATATCCTCGAGTGAGGATTAACTTTTATTTTTAAAGCCCTATGCAAATGTGAGGGAGAGATGGGAAAGCAGAGGATGCAGGAATTCCAATGGCCACTGGAGCCCTGTGTGCTACCGGAGACCACATGCATTATCATCTTGTCCCATCCACACTTCGCATCCACTGCAGGCTCAGTCTTCCCCATGGTGGGGGATGGGGGCAGGGGCTAGAGGATCCCCACTTCATAGGGGAGAAAACTGAGTCGCTAAGAGAAGACGGAAGACTTGCCATGGTCACCAGAGTGGCAGAGGCAGGCCCTGAAACTGGCTTAGCCTGTGCCCGTTTTCATCCTCTCTGTTTCAGATATGCACCCACAAACTTCCCCAGTTCTTCCCGCCATCCCCAGAAAGTACATGGGGAGAAAAATGCAGTCAACTCTCAATTATTCAGGACCCCGTTTTGCTGGACTTTTAGTCCACAGCGTCTCTCCATTACTCCAGCAAACCTCATTTTTGCCAGTCCTGTGTGTTCTGTAGCAGGTGACGAAGGAAGAGACCTGCTCATTTCCTTCTGCAATGTGTTATAATACCTAGAAGTCTAAAGTGAAAAGGGTATATGCCCATGTCATACACGTAGGTCCGTGATTTCAACGTGATGAAAAAGGTTGAAAATCACTGACCTAGGAGACTGTGGAGTCTTTAAAACATGTCCACAAATCCTTTGATACTCCTCCCTTTCAGAGGCAGAGCATATTCCCCTCCCCTTGAGTGTGGGCCAGATGTGGTGACTCACTTTTAATTAATAGAATATGCAGAAGTAAACAGCATGCAACTTCCAAAATTAGGCCTCACAAGGCTCTCCGGCTCTCTCGAACTGCCCCCTCTGGGGGACCAGCTGCCATGTCACCAGGATACTCAAGCAACCCTGCGGAGAGGCCCACATGGGGAGGAGCTGAGGCCTCCTGCCAACAGCTATGCGAGGGTACCATGGTGGAAGCAGGTCCCCCAGCCCCAGTCAAGCCTTCAGATGATGGCAGCCCGGGGCTGTCTTGACAGGAGCTGATGATAGATCCAAGCCAGAACCACACCACTAAGGCACTCCTGGATTCCTGACCTGCACAGGCGGTGAGGTAATGTTTACTGTTTTAACCTGCTAGATTTTTAAAAATATATTTTTAATATATTTTTATTGATTTCAGAGAGGAAGGGGGAGGGAGAGCTAGAAACTTCAATGATGAGAGAGAATCATTGATTGACTTTCTCTTGCATGCCCCTCACTGGGGATCGAGCCCGAAACCCAGGCATGTGCCCTGACTGGGAATCCAACCAGTGACCTCTTGGTTCATGGGTGGACCACTCACCCTTCCAGAAACGGTGTCATTTTCATTACATTCCACACAACCATTCTACAGTCCCAGAGGACTTCACCACCGTGGGATTTGACTTTGCTTATTAACTGAAATCAGCATTCTTTTCAGAGGAACAAATGGACTAGTTCCAAGGTGACAATTTCCTTCCTAACAAGGTTCAAATGCTCTAACGAGTTTCCACAGCCACTGACGGAGTTTGTCAATCTATTTGGCACACAATCTAGCCAATGGGCTGGAGACACATGGTCCTGGAAAACTGTGTAAGCCCTTTTTTTTTTTTGGTTATTAGACAGAACTCTCAAGGTATTAATGAACAGAGTTTACTATGGAGAGGAATCTTTCAATCAAGTTAAATCCTTCCCTAAATATCTCAGGGAGGCAAGGTAGACATAAAGTCATTGAAATAGACAGGGGTGGGCAAAAGTAGGTCTACAGTTGTACTGCAAATAAATAGTACAAAAATTAATAAATAATAATACAGGAATAAACTCTTGCACATACTCACAACTGTAAACCTACTTCTGCCTCGCCCTGTGTGTCACCCTCTGCTGTCTATTTTACCTTCCTACATGTCCAGTTTGTTCTCTGCTCTCCGGCCCCTGGCCCGTCCTTCACCCTTGTCTAGACGATGCAGTGGTTCCTCATATTCTTCTATCTCCACCCCCTTCAACTCACACAGCAGCAGGAGACCTTGCAGAGTGCAACACTGAACACATCCCTCTCGACCTCAAATCTCAGAGAGGTTTCCAACTGCTCGTAGGAGAAATACAGACCCTGCCCTATGGCGCATCAGGGACTGTTCACCCTGGTGCACCCCCCCCCCCCCCCCCGCCACCAGCATCCTGCACCCAATCCTTTTTTTCCCACTGCCATCCTACCTTGGGTCCTCCCCCCCGCCCCGCCCTGCCACCCGGGCTCTCTGCACAACCAGGAAAGCTCTCCAAAGCCTCTTCACCTAAGTAACCCCTCTCCCTTCAGACCCCAGCTCGGCGATGCTGTCCTGACCGGGTGACCCCCCTGGTACATGCTCCCTTAGCTCAGTGGGTCTCTGCCTTGTGGCCTCATCACAGCTGCAAGTTCGGCTTGTTTCTCTGGTTACTGAATTAATGTCTGTCTTCAGATGAGCATACAGACTGTAAGCTCTGTGAGAGCAGGGAGCTCATGGATTTTCTCCCGGCTGCATTCCCAGGGCAGCGCCAATTAGATGTTCGTGACCCGCATGATTCCTTCCAGGCCCTTGGCACTCCCCTACCTCCATCCCCGCCCAGGTCCCTCCCATCTCCTCCGTCCTTTAAAGCCGGGGTTTGATGTCCCCTCTGAGAGGACTTCCCAGACCCACCAGCCGAAAGGGATTCCTCCCTGGACTGTTTCCCTCTGCCGACATGAGTGCTGCACCTGAACCCTTGTTTCCATGGCATGTCCCCCAGAGGGTAGGGGGTTTTGTCTTGTTCATCGTTTTACTTCCCTGTCCCAGGGGCTCCTTGAGCCCATCTGCCTTTGATGGGGCCCAGATCCAAGGAGTGTATGGGCCTTCAGCTTTGAGGGGAGGGAAAATGCCTGAGAAGTAAGGAAAGGAAGAAAGAGAGAGAGAGCTTGAAAGCAAAACCTTAAGAAGCCCAAGGCCAGCCTGCTGGCCTCCCTTACAAAGCCTGGCACGGAGTCCGCATTCAGTGCGCACTGAATAAAGGACAGAATGAATGAAAAGTTCACAGCCTCTAAGCTCCTGGGGGTACTCCTGGCAGCAGAGCTGAGCAGAGAGATGCTAATGGATTCGGGCCACCGAAGCCAATTCTTCTAGGAAACCCAGAGCAACAGTCCTGCCTGGGACAGCCAGCATCTGCTTCCCATTTCGGAAGTCCCAGGGTGACTTCCTCCTCCCCAGGGTCCGTTACTCAAATGCTCCATCCTGCAGGGAAGGGTCTCTGCCCGTGATGAGCAATCGGTCTCATGACTTGCTGGTCACGGTGCCTGTAGTGAGGTCCCTGCTGCAACCGATGTCGGCACCCCCCCAGGGCCAGCCTCCCGCTCAGAGGAATGTCCACGGGACGTCTGGTGAGGAAGTAGCTCCTGGGCTCTGGGAAAGGTTCTTCTGGATCAGAGGCCCTGCTCTCAACCGCCAGAAGCAGAAGCACACTCGGACCCTCCCCATCCCTCAGCAAAAGCAGTGTTTGTGGGGCACGGGTCTCCCTGAAAACGCCCACTCTGAGTTGACAAAGACTTGATAAGTGTGCACACACACACACACGTGAGTGCACACACATGCACATACACATGGGCACAGAGACAGTTCCCTGCTCCTCAGGTCACACCCCCTGGGTACAGCTGGCAGCAAGGCCAACGGACCATCTGGAAGGAGACTGCAGCCCCAGAGCAGGACGCAGACCCTCTGGATTCCAGGGAAGCAAGGTGCCACCCTGCCCACACCATCCCTCCCATCTCATCGGTGCTGTGGCATCATGGGAGGCTCACTTCCAGCCCCCTCCCGCCCCTCATGGCAAGAAGTCACCCCTCCCAGCTCCCGCTGCCAACGAGCAGTCTTACTTCTTCACTTTCGGGTACTTCATCTCTGCAATGGCGTTTGTGGCTTCCATTTGCTTCTCCTTCAAGTGCTGCGGCCACATGTTATCCACCCAGTCCACCAGGTCTACCTGAAAGCCAGACCCCTGTCAGCACTTGCTGGGCTCCCAAATCACCTCAACCCTTTCCTCCCGTCCCCGGCATTCCCCCCACTTTCCCCCAGGCCTGCGGTGGGGGTAGGGCGAGGGCAGGAGGTGGAGGGTGTCCGGGAGGGAACCGCGGCCAAGGGCCTACCTACCACAGTTGGACGCTTGACCAGGTGCTCCAGCTTGGTGTGGCTGAACTCCAGGCTGATGACGTTGTACAGCTTGTCCCGCTCGGCCTCGGGTGTCTCGTAGTATCGCACAAACTGGGACATGCTCATCTCTGTGCCCTTCTGAGTGTTCACATCCATCACGTCCACCAGCCGCCGGCTGCCTAGGGGCAGAATCCACACGCTGGTGGCTCCCGCCTCCTGGGGGCCAGATCCTACTTGGGAGCCCCCATGAAACAAAACCTCCTCCTCCTCCAGGGTTCCCCCACACGCCTCCCCCTATGCCATGTCCACTCCCCTTAGTCAATCTTCCCAATCCATCTGCTTCCTCCTCCACCACCGCTCCTCTCTAGTCCAGGCCACCACTGCTGCTGTCTTCCAACTACACCGCCCCTCCACCCCCACCCCCATCCTCCATACTGCTGCCAGTATGAGCTTTCTAAGACAGACACCTGACCATGGACACTCCTCTCTCGGCTTAAAACCATCAGAGAGGGTTCCCCACGGCCAACCAAATAATCCTTGGCATGGCACTCAAGGCCTTGCTGTGAATTTAAGGATAGGACTTCAACAGATAATTAGCTGTTTAGTGGTCCCCCTCCCTGATCTGTGAAGCCAAGAAAGTTACTGGACGTCTCTGGCCAGCCATGTCCTCATCCTGCCATCTCTCCTTATAGGCTAGTTGTGAGGATTAAGCCAGACGATGATTACAGAAGTCCTCAGCACTGTGTCTGGTGCATAAATGAATGGGTCCCTCCGTTATTCCCCGGCACTAATCACAATTCTTAAATTCGTTTCTTTGTCTGCTCTCTCTTCCCTACTACTCGGCAACCACCGCAAGGGCAGGAGTCTTCTCTGTCCTGTTCATACCTTTACCCCACGTATCTAAGGAACTTGGCACCCAGTTTATTATGGAACAAATAAACGATGAATGTAGGCTGCCCTGTACAGCATGTGACATATGCCTTCTCCTATGAATGACGGAACTACAGAGTGTGCCCCTCCTCAGGAAAGCCCAACCTTCATCTTAGCAGCGAGCTCCAGGAGAGAAAGGGACAAGCTCTGAATTAGAAGAGAGGGCCACTGCTGCTAGCCCTGGGGCCACCACTGGCCACAAACCGTAAGGAAATCATGACCTTTCCAGGGACTCTACTTCCCCATCTGTAAAATGGGAATCCCAGCCAAGATAGAAGCAACACTTGAAGCTAAGTGGACACATTTTGAAGGGGAGAAAGACACAAGGCAGACTGCCAACTCCATGCTCATACCTCCTGTCTGTTAGGGCTGGAATGAGAAGCCCACTGTTAGCTGTGACAAATGTACAGTGTATGGAGGCTTAGAAATGTGTCGACCAGAGGAGAAAAACCATGTTCAAAGCTACCCCAAGAATAAAGACTCAACTAAGCAATAAATGGGTCTGCTATTAATTCCTGTATGGCCCACCATCAATAATATTTTTTGATGTGAAAATTACATGAAATTCACATTTCTGGGCCCATATATAAAGTTTATGGGCATACAGCTCCCACTCATTGACTCACATATCTCCGACTGTTTCTGGAGAACAAGCTACAATGGCTGGGAAAAGCCTGAAATACATACTTACTCTCTGGCTCTTTACCGAGAAAGTTTGCAGACCCTTGAACTAGACAAAAACCCTCATGGGGCTTACACTCTGATGTGCACAGTATTCCCATCTGTTCACTGCTGCAAACACACAAAGTCTACACACAAAGTCTGGCCCATGACAGGCCTGTGGTCAGTATTTGTTGAATAAACACACAGTGCCTTTCACCTGGTTGGAAGTGAATAATAAAAGTAACGCCTTAAGCCCCGGTGTGGCTCAGTTGATTGGGCATTGTCCCATGCACTGGCAGGCTGCAGGTTCAATTCCCAGTCAGGGCACATGCCCAAGTTGCGGGTTCAATTCCCACCTTGGGGTGTGCAGGAGGCAGCCCATCCTTTTCCCACTCTCAAACAGATCTTTCTCTTTCTCTTTCTCTCTCCCTCTCTCTTCCTCTCTCTGTAAAAATCAATAGAAATATTTTTTTTTGCAAAATAACTATTATTGAGAACCACCTGAAGGCTAGCTGAACAGAATTACTATTACTAGGGATGCAAAGAAGAAGTCAT